ACAAGGACAACAAGATGAACTTCAAGGAGCTGAAGGACTTCTTGAAGGAACTCAACATACAGGTGGATGACAGCTACGCCAGGAAGATCTTCAGGGTGAGCTGGCCCAGAGTGGCTGCGGGGCCTCGATCCCGGCCTGGGGCTGGGTCTGAGCCAGGTCTGAGCCCGTGCGTGCCCTGTGCTGGCTCTGCAGGAATGTGACCACTCCCAGACAGACTCGCTGGAGGACGAGGAGATCGAGACCTTCTACAAGATGCTGACCCAGCGGGCGGAGATCGACCGCATCTTTGCCGAGGCTGCAGGATCTGCGGAGACCCTGTCGGTGGAAAAGCTCGTCTCGTTCCTGCAGCATCAGCAGCGGGAGGAGGCCGCAGGGCCAGCACTGGCCCTCTCCCTCATTGAGCGCTACGAACCCAGTGAGACTGGTGAGGACCCAGCCATCCCGGAACCACATGACTGGGAGACTCTGATGGAACTGCAGACAGACAGACAGACGTGCTGGAGGGAGCCAGTCCCAGGGTCGCTGATCAGTGTGTGACTCTCCTGTGTAAGCAGGTGCATGGGAGAGAGAGCCCCAGTGTTTGTCCCGTCTGGGCTTCACTTCCCTTCAGTTCCTCTTCAGGGGCATTGAGTGTCCCTACCCCAAGGCATAGAAAGAAGTGACCTGTGAAGCCACAGTCACTGTTACTTCCCTCTTTGAGTCTATCCTGGATCAGCTTTGAGTCATGACCTAGAGAAACACAGCGCTGCTCAGCAGGCCAGCCTAGCAGCGTAGTGAGACCTGGTCTCAAAGTGTAGCACTAAAGAGGACTGGGGATACTGCTCGGTGGTAGCGTGAAAGACCCTGCAGTCAACTCTGGGGACTCGGAGGCAATGTCACCCAGATTTGAGGCTTTTAGAAGGGAAGGAAGGGAAAGAGGCAGGGCCTCACCCCACTGTAACCACAATCTCACTGGGAGCCCAGGACGTCTGCTCCCCAGAGCTCAGATCACTGGCTGAAGCGGGTGGGCAGGCAGAGTGGAGAAAAGACTTCTCACCACAGCGGTAGGCAACTGTCTCTGACTGGAAATGGTGGCTTCTTCCTACCTAGCCAAGGCGCAGCGGCAGATGACCAAGGACGGCTTCCTCATGTACTTGCTGTCCGCCGACGGCAGCGCCTTCAACCTGGCGCACCGCCGTGTCTACCAGGACATGGACCAGCCACTCAGCCACTACTTGGTGTCTTCTTCCCACAACACCTACCTGCTGGAAGACCAGATCAGAGGGCCCAGCAGCACAGAGGCCTACATCCGGTGCGGTCCAGGGGCAGAACTGTTAGGGGCAGGGCAGGGTGGGATCCGGGACGGGATCTAGAGGGTCCTAGCCCAGCTGTCACCACCCCCTGCAGGGCTCTGTGCAAAGGCTGTCGCTGCGTGGAACTCGACTGCTGGGATGGTCCCAATCAGGAGCCCATCATCTACCACGGCTACACTTTCACGTCTAAGATTCTTTTCTGTGACGTGCTCAGGGCCATCCGGGATTATGCCTTCAAGGTTGGGCCTGCCCATGGGAGTGAGGAGAGGCCATTAGGGGTGGACAGTCCCTTCTAACTCATCTTGGGGCTTCTAGGCATCCCCCTACCCCGTCATCCTGTCCCTGGAGAACCACTGCAGTCTGGAGCAGCAGCGAGTGATGGCCCGTCACCTGAAGGCTATCCTGGGGCCCCTGCTGTTGGACCAGCCCCTGGAGGGCGTTACCACGAGCTTGCCTTCCCCTGAGGTACAGAGTGGGTACCCTGAAGGCAGGGAAGGGAACCTGGCTGGGAGGCTTACGTGGGTCCTCACCAGTGAGTGGTTTATCCCCAGCAACTAAAGGGCAAGATTCTGCTGAAGGGGAAGAAGTTTGGAGGGCTGCTGCCTGCCGGAGGGGAAAACGGGCCTGAGGCCACTGATGTGTCCGATGAAGATGAAGCCGCGGAAATGGAGGACGAGGCCGTGCGGAGCCAAGTGCAGCAGAAGCCCAAGGTTCTAGGGGAAGCTGTGGGGAGGTGGGGTGGCCCCGGGTCCGTCCCGCTCCCATTGCCCTTGGGATGTTTGCCTCGTCTTAGTTTTCCTGTGGCTGCCATTCAGACCTTCTGCCCCCTCTCTCTGTCTGTCTCCTCTCTCTTTGTTGTCTGGGTTTCTGGTGCTCAGTGCCCACCTTGTCCTACCCTGTGGCTCTAACCTGGGCCTCCCCATGGCCTCCAGGAGGATAAGCTAAAGCTGGCGCCGGAGCTCTCTGACATGGTCATTTACTGCAAGAGTGTCCACTTTGGTGGCTTCTCCAACCCTAGCACCTACGAGCAGGCATTCTATGAGATGGCTTCCTTCTCTGAGAACCGTGCCCTCCGGCTGCTTCAGGAGTCAGGTGAGCGCCTGTTCTTGCTGGCATATGAACCTGGCCATCTGGACTGGACAAAACTGGAGCTACCCTCCACCCTTGCAGGGACCCTAAGCTAGCACTCCCTGCTTTATGTCTGGGCAGAACTGGTGAGGTGGGGTGGGTAGGTGTGTCTTTAGCCCACCAAGGCCTTCACTGCTGACTCAAACCCACCTTTCCTCAGGAAATAGTTTTGTCCGCCACAATGTGAACCACCTGAGCAGGATCTACCCTGTTGGGAGAAGAACAGACTCCTCCAACTACAGCCCTGTGGAGATGTGGAATGGGGGCTGCCAGATTGGTATGGACCAGTTGGGATGGACGGCGGCGGGGGGGGGGGTGTTAGAAAGAGCACCTGACCTTGATGTCCAGTGGCCTAGAGCCCTGAAGGTCACGGCATGAGAGGTCTGAGGACCTGAGAAGGTTTGGGTGCCAACCAAGAGCTGAGCATGGAACTTGCCCAGCCAGCAAGTCTGTGCCCGGTGTGCACTCCAGCCCTGTGCATTTTGCCATCGGAAATGGAGCAGGTAGTTCAGCCATTGAAGTGTTTGCCTGGCATGCAGGACATCGTCCTAGGTTCAATCCTTTGCACTGCAGAGAACAGGAGTGGGGTCACGCCTGTCCTCCCAGCCCTTTTGAGGAGGAGGCAGGGGTGGGGAAGGGTAGGTGAGTTAGGAGGTCAAGGTCTTCCTCGAGTGAGTTCAAGGCCAGACTTGACCTTAAAACCCAACAAAGCAGGCTGGGGAGATGACTCAGTCAGCTAAATGTTTGCCATCCAAACAATACAGACAAGGTCCTGCATTGGGATTCCTACCCATGTAACATGTCAGGAGTGATGACACACATCTGTACACACACTGTACACACATCTGTACACATACTGTACACACACTGTAACCCCAGCACTGAGGAGGCAGAGGTAGGCTGCTCTCTGGTGAATTGGTAAGCTCCAGGTTCAATAGAGACCCTGTCCCCCAAAATAAAGAATGATTGAAAAAGATGTCAGACATTGACCTCTGGCCTCCACGTATGTATAAACACTTGCACACATTCATGTGAACACACACTTATATCACACACACACACACACGAATAAACAGGTCATGTGATCAGTGTGGTGGGTCAGTTAGGATGATGGGAAGACAGGAGACACTGGAGCATCATTTGATCCTGCTCCCAACGCACACAGGAACTAGACTATAGTGCATTCTGAGTGGGCTGGGCTTGAGGACTCTGGAGCCAGCCTACAACTTGTGTATACTCTGATCTACCTGCAGTGGCTCTGAACTTCCAAACCCCTGGGCCAGAGATGGATGTATACCTGGGCCGCTTCCAGGACAATGGAGCCTGTGGGTATGTGCTGAAACCTGCCTTCCTGAGAGACCCCGACACCACCTTCAACTCACGTGCCCTGACTCAGGGGCCCTGGTGGGCTCGGAAGAGGCTCCGTGTCCGGGTATGGCCAGACACAGAAGGGACAGACGCCTGTGGGGATCTGTCCTGCTCACTGCCATCTCCGAATGCTCATTGTCCCCACCTTTTCTTAGATCATCTCGGGGCAGCAGCTGCCAAAGGTCAACAAGAGTAAGAATTCAATCGTGGACCCCAAGGTGATAGTGGAGATCCACGGTGTGAGCCGGGACGTGGCCAGCCGCCAGACCACAGTGATTACCAATAATGGTATACTGTGCACCGGCTGGGTTGGGCCAGGCCGATGGTGCTGGTGACCTTGCTGTTCATATGATGTTTGTCCTTGTAGGTTTCAACCCCTGGTGGGACACGGAGTTTGAGTTTGAGGTGGCTGTGCCTGACCTTGCCCTTGTACGCTTTGTAGTAGAGGACTATGATGCCTCCTCCAAGAACGACTTTATTGGTCAGAGTACTATCCCCTGGAGCAGCCTCAAGCAGGGTGAGTGTTGGCGGGAAGGGGCCAGCCAGCAGCAGCAGGCAGGTCCTGGCTTCCCTCAGCCTACAGATCACTCTGCCTGGAGCATCTTCTCCCAGTGACCAGAACTGTCCTTCCCACCAGGGTACCGCCACGTCCACCTCTTGTCTAAGAACGGAGATCAGCATCCATCAGCCACGCTCTTTGTGAAGATCTCCCTCCAGGACTAAGCCTGGGGGTGGGTGAGGTCCACTCTGAGTGGGCCACGCTGTGTCCACCCCTGGGGCAAGGCTGGCACTGTTGCACCGACTTCTGGTGTGGAGCGCGAGGGCCTGAACTGCCTTTAGCTCTAATGCGCCAACTGTGCTTCCTGCCTCTCTGGGGACCCAGGAGCAAGTCCAGTCCCTGGAGTGGCCAAGTTTCTGTTAGGAACAACACTGCAGCCCTCCCCCTCCCCCTCCCCTCTAGCTGTCTTTAGGTTGCGAGTTTTTATAAAAATCACAAGGTAAAGTCTTAGAGTCTTTTTACATAGACACCAGAGACTCCGTCAAGGCCTCATGCACACTCCTTCCCACCATCATGGGGTCGTTTGGAGTGAGCAGGCGGAAGGAGCCCTTTCCACCCAGGAGGGTATTACCCAGAGTGCCACAGGGCCCTGCTGCCAAGAAGGGGACTCCACCAGATGGCACAGCTTGAAGGCACACAGGCCACACTTGACACCAACCAAATGGCTTTTTATTAGGAACGGGGAGTTATTCCAGGAGGAGACTCGGCGTGTGGCGAGCAGGGGTCCCCCAGATCAGAAGAAGCCCAGCTTCTTTTTCTCTTGCTGCTGCTTCCACTTGGCCATGCTGTAGAACTCCTCCTTGGATTTCCCAAAGATGTCTTGAAAGTCAGAGTCTGAGAGATAGAACTGGGGGAGGGGGTAGGAGTGGCGGTGGGGAGGGACAGGATTCCGGTGCCACCCAGAGGTGTGATCCATCTACACTTCTCCAATCTGCCCACTGCCTGTCTGTGACCACTACGGGGGGCAGGGGGGCCCTTCCAGTACAGAGTTAGGTCTCAGGCCAGTGCTGAGAACAGCGTCTGGTACCCACCTCCTTGCGGGCAGGGTCCACTCCCTGTGGCAGGTCCTCCACGGCCTGGTGCATCAGCCTTTCCCGGGGCAGGCTCCCATTGGCTGCTGAGCTGCTGCAGCGGTTGCTAGGGCTTTTGCTGGGGTTCTTGTCATCCACTCCAAGGCCCAGCTCTAGATCATTCTCTGGGCTTTCCTGGGAACTCTTGAAGGCCAGTAGGGTCGAGGGACCTGCCTTGTTGTCACCCGGCCCTCGAATTAGCTGGAAGTTATGTACTTCCTGTCCAGAGAGAAGCCTCATGGTCTGGAAGATGGAGGACAGGCCCCCACCCACTAAAGATCACATTATCCCCACAGGCCTCTTGGCGGCGTCTGAAACCAGACCGCTATGTGAGGCTTCCAGGGAAATGCTGGACACTTACTGCTGTTATTTCAGAGATGGCAGACGCTGGTCCCAGGCTTCCTTCCACAACCTCCTCATAGGACTGGTTGTTCTGGGGGGGCAGGAGTTAGGGCAGGATTGGGGGCACTGGCAAGGGAAGGAGCGCCCCGAAACTCAGGCAGGAGCCTAAAGGATAAGATCAGGTCTCCCCCTGACTCATGGGAGATCCTCAATCTGGAGGGGGTGGGCTCTTACTACGCTTCCCAAGACAAAGATGGGGGAGGAGTGCTAGGCCTCACCATCCACTTGTAGGGGTCCCAGGTGACAAACCACCCAGTGAAGGTGGCAGGCTCGTGGCCCTGCTTGACCAGAATGATGGGTGTGTCCAGGCTCCTCTCTGCTGGGTGAGTCCTCAGGTACTCCCGGCCCCAGGCCACAGCCTCCTTCTTTTGCTCACCTGCTTCTTCCCCAAGCCACAGGAAGATCTGGGCCACAGAGAAAGCCTGGGCTGGGACAGGCAGAGGGACCCCCGACTCGGTCACCTCCTCCCCACTCCATGCAGCAAGGTGGCCTGAAAACCCTGCGTGCATATGCCTGGCCAAGAGCATTCGCCCAGTGAGTTGAGATGCCCCCACCTTGTGAACACTTGTCATCACAGGCCTGCATGCATGCATCTAATATAAATAGTTACGAAGCACTAGCGTGTGCTAGGAACTAAACATGTAGCAGTGAAAAGAACCCCAAGTTACTGTCCCCAGACCAGGCAGTGTGGCATGTGTCTGTAATGACGGTACTGGCAAGGTAGAGGCAGGGGGATCAGTTAGTTCAAGACCATACTTGGCTTCCAGAGAGAGTTTGAGGCTAGCCTCGGCAACACAAGACCCTGCCTCAAAAAAAAAAAAAAAAAAAAAAAGGCCTGGGGTTGCTTGCTTAGCCAAGTCCTGGGTCGAACCCTAGTACCACATAAACTGGAGGGGGTGGGCAGGCCCAAAATCCCAGCACTTGGGAGGTGGAGTCATAGGTCAGAGGAAGTTCAGGTTACATAGTGAGCTTAAAATCATTCTGGGCTATAGAGACTCTGTCTCAAAAGAAGCAAAGAGTTGAGAAAAATCTCTACCTTCATAGAGTCTTTGTGGAAGAGCAAGCCACATGTATGTTTCAGAAGAAAGTGAAGAAAGATCAGGCAGTGCCGAGGGCGTAAGCGGGATGTGCCTGGCATGCTCAGGGGACAGTGAGAGCCACCACGGCTGGAAAGACCAGCAAGGTGGAGTCCGGAGGTTTGATCAGAGAGCGATGGCTAGGTAATGGGGGAGGTTGTGAAGTGGGGAAGAGAGGGGAGATGTAGTCTGGACTTGGAACTCAACCTCCTTAGAACTCAGTACCACACAGTCTCTCTCACACACAGTGACACTCATGCGGACACACAGACATGCACAGTGACACACGAACACACGCATGCACGCACCATCACAGATACAGAGACACATTGTCCGTTGATACAACCAGGTAGACGGTCACAGTCACACACTGTCATCGCCTGTCATCACAGTGTCTGGACAGAGACATGGTCACACTGGTTACATACACCATCTCATAGCCACGCAGAACCTCACAGCCTCACGCATACAGTTGCTCAGTCACGCCAACACCCTATCATATGTCCCTTCTTTCCATCTCACACAGACACGCGTGCGCAGGCAGCGTCACCCAGCTACAACTGGTCTGGCCGGTTCTGTGTACTGGACCACACAGTCGCTGGCACGGTCTGCCTACCACACGGCCGTAGCTACCCGGTCAAACGTGCAGGTTCAGAGAATCACCTCAGGTGTGCTGCTATCCAGTCAGTGTTTCCACCTACTGATTGCCATGCAGTCAGCCACAGGCCCTCGTGGGGAGTCATACATGGCATCATAGGACACACAGTGATACAAACAACGTGCAAGGTCATAATCACACACAGCCCAACTCTTGTTCCCAGTATGTTGTGGTTTTCCTATCACACCCAGACTCTCAATCCATGGCAACAATCAGTCACAGGCTAAATTCACCTTCACACCCAACTCCAGCAATGCGGACACGCCCAGCGTTCCCAGCCCAGCTGAGCTGGAGTGACGGCCTCACCTCCTGACAGGTGTCTAGTAACATGACGTCATACTTGTTCAAGTCCTCTTGGTCAAAGAACACCACTTCCGTGAGGACCAGGCAGCCTGAGGGGCTGGAGCATTCAAACAGTCGGGGCTGGGTGCTGGAGACCTCCTCGGGAAGCCTGGCCAGAGGAGGGGCGGTGAGGGGGGCCGTCTGGGACAGGAGACTCCACCCACCCCTTGGCTTTCTCTGGGAGTGCCTGCTCTGGGCCAGGGCGCCTTTCTTTCAGGGGACAAATAGAGAAGGTGACTGAAAGTCTGCCGGCTGCTCCATGGATGGGGCAAAGAGACCTGAGACCTAGTGAGGAGAAGCTGAGCTGAGGCCCCGCCCTCAGAACGGGAGTGACCTGCATTCAATTAAGCCAGGGAGTAGCCTCAGGTCCAGGGTGGGAGGAGAGGGAGCAAGTCTGGGAGGGTTGTAGAACATTTAACTATGTAAAGATGTGTTACTTTTGTGTACGCTGTGTTTGTTTAATTATGTAAAGATGTGTTGCATTTGGTTTCACCTTGCCTGCCTAAGGCACCTAATTTGGCCTAATAAAACACTGAATGGCCAATAGCTAGGCAAAGGAGGAATAGGAGGGGTTGGTGGGCAGAGAAAGTAAGTAGGAGGAGAACTCCAGGCTCAAGAGAGAAGAGAGAGAAGAGAGCGAGGGAGAAAGAAACATGTCGGGGGCCAGAAACCAGGCAGCTGCTGGACAGCCAGACACAGGAAAATAGGACATACAGAAAGAAAGGTAAAAAATCCTGAGGTAAACCGTAGATAAAAAGAAACAGATTAAAATAAGAGCTAAGATAAGGCCAAGCATTTATAATTAATAATATGTCTCTGTGTCATGATTTGGGAGCTGGTTGGTGGCCCAAAAGAAAGCCTGGTACATGAAAGCCCAGGAGACTTGGGTGGACGGCAGCACCCAGGGACTCAGCTCCTTCCATTCTCGAGTTCTTAGTCTGCCCTTATCACGGGTTTATTCTGCTAGGGAGTGCCCCTAGAGACAGTGCAGAAAGTGGATTCTGCCAGCAGAGGGCGCCATTTCTCCATTTGCCCTGGCATTGTCCCCATCTAAGTTACCAAGGGCTGGAGACTGCAAGGCAGGCTCCCGTGCCCCTGCGGGTGGAGGACAGCGAGTCCCTCAGTTCTAGGCTTATCTTTCTAGCTCTCTGTGTGATTCAGTAGTCACCACTTCCGGGCCTCAGCTCCTCCTCAAGATAAATATTTTCTCCTGTAATCCCATTACCTCTTGTTGCTAGGATAGGGGGCTCGGCCTCCAAGAGCTTCCCAGAAGTGGGGAGGCTCCCGACCCTCCAGCACTGTCTCTGTGTTATTTCTTGCGAAGACGGTGACCACCATCCGCGCCATCTCACGCTGGTCCCCATTGCAGCCCTGGCAAGCAGAGGCTGGGTCAAACCCTGCAGCAGGCAGGCCTTCACCTCCAGTCCCATGTCTGTTTACTGGAGTCTGTGTGGAGCTGGACCTGAGCCAAGGGAGGCCTAAGCTGTGCGGGAGACCCCTGTGAGCAAGGTCTCTCCCTTTCAGCTTCCCCAGCTGAGACCCCATGAGCCTCTCTGGGCCCAGAGTGTGGATGAGAGACACTCAGGTTTGGGAGTCATTTGCGGTTTATGCTAAAGATAAAACAACAACAACAAAACCCACAAGCAAACAAGGCTAGGCCTCTCTCTTTTCCAGAGAGACTTCGGGAAAGTCCCCAAGCAGGAAGAGAGGTAGCTAGAGCCAGGCTTGCCTCTGACCTGAGGAACCCCAGTTCACTTGTGGATCAGGGTTCCTGGGCCACTTCACAGCACCCACAGAACCACCCCACTGGCCTCTATCTAGTTGGGTTTCAAGCCTGCATTCGGGTGGAGGGGACCCCTCTCTGACCCAGAGACACTTTCCCAAGTGGTGATGCACCGGTACCTTCCCAAACCAGAGGTAGGAGACATCCGTTGTGACCAGGAAGAAGATGTCACTGGACATGAGGGAGGAGGCGCGGGCTGGCACCTCCAAAGTTCTGGTGTCGTGGCTGTCAGCCCCCTGCATGTGGAACAGCCTCGTGCTGGAGATTGGCGGCCTCTTCCCTCTGTTGTCTGCACTCCCCTAGAAGAAGGTGGGGGCCCAGGCTGAGGCAAGGGCTCCTGGGGGCCACCTCCCTGTTCTAGAGGTGAACAAACTGCTTCAAAGGCCACCACTGTCCTGTGGCCCTTTCAAATTAGATTGTCACCCATTTCAGAGGGCCCAGAGCAAGCTCCTGCCACCATAGTGTGCCACCTCATCTAGGCACAGAACCAACAGAGCCAGGGGTCATGAGACCTCTGAGTTGGACCTAAAATGAATCCTTCATTTCATGTGGCTTATGCCAGATAGATGATGATTGTTATTATTATTGATTATTATTATGAGTGCGTGCACATGTACACGCGCTTGCGAAGGTCCTGGGATGGCAGATGTCATTTTCAGGAATGCTCTCCACCTCCTCTGAGATAAGGTCTCTCATGGCCTGGAGCTCACCAGTTACGCTAGACTAGCTGGCCATTGAGCTCCGGGAATCCTCCTGTCTCCACTTCCCCCAGGCTAGGATCACAGCATGCAGCGTCACACCCAGCATCTTTATGTGGAGGCTGGAATCGCTCACGCTCAGGCTTGCACATCTCTCCAGCACCCCCCACCCCGTGTCAAAGGGAAGTCCAACGTGGGCTCTACCTGGAAGACCACCAGCTGCCCCTGGAAGATGGCTAGGAAGTGGGGGGGCTCTCTGCCCATGGTCACATGTGCCTGTACCAGTGCTCCATGGTACATGAGGTCCATCTCCTCAGCATTGCAGTTCAGGGCCTTGGTGTCTTCTATGGTGGCCTGGTGGCCCTGCAGAAGGGAGGGGGACATTAATGGCCTGTGGTTTCCTCTTTCATTCTTAGAGTCTAGGTCTCGGGCTGGAAGGCAGCTGACATCCCAGCAGGTGCGCATACCTGCCATAGGTACAGGATGTACCGGACATGGCCAAGTTTCTTGTATGTGTAGAGGGCAAGGTAGCAGTTTCCTGAGCATAACTGGCCGTGGTGCTTGGGGTCCACAGGCTGCCTTTGTAAGTCCTGGATGCACCACACCTGGGGACCAAGGGACCTGTGGGCTCAGACGAACCGTACCTGCAGCAGCCTGCCCATCTGCACCCAGCTGGGAAGCTCTCACTGGCTCCTCTGTGTCAGCAAGCAGCTTGCCCAGTTCTGTGACTTTATGCTTCACGCTGGACCTGTGAGCGACCCTTTCCCCCACAACGCCTTTGCTGGCCTGCCCTCAGCCCGGATTTAGTTTGCCTTCTGCACCTGGGAAGGTAAGGGAAAGACTAGAAGCTACACAATGGGCCCAGCTCCTCGCCCCTGGCCACCTCTGTCTAGACCCCACTAGCTATGGCCCCGGCTAGGGGCAGACAGCACCCCTCCCCCCAGGCGCAGAGGTGCTTTGCTCAGGCCAGGAGAGCAGAAGCAAGGCTGGAAGAGAGGCCTTGGCGCTCTGGAGCAGAAATTTCTTGTTTTTTGTATTGTCATTGACAGCAACAACAAAACAAACCCCTAAACGAACAAAAATCAGGGTTGGGGTGTGATTTAGTTGGTCGAGTGCTTGTCTAGTGTGCACAATGTCTTGGAACCCCTCAGAACCAACATTCTGCCTGTAATCCTGGCCTTGGGGAGGTGAAGCAGGAGAATCAGAAGTTCAAGGTCAGCCTTCACTGTCTAGTGAGTCTGAGGCCAGCCTGGGATATGTGAGACCCTGTGTAATAAAACAAACAGAAAACCAGCGGCTGCTCAGAGGCTGAAGGGACAGCGCTTGCTCACATTTGTCTGAGTGAGGGCTTGTTGCTATGGGAGCCACACCTCAGCTTCAGAACCAGACAGAACTGGTGGAAGTCCAGGTCTGTGCAGGCTGGCTCTCCTAAGCCCCAGTTCTTCCTGCCTGTACGCTGGGGATCATAGAGCCAACCCCGCTGCACATCCACCATAGTGCCTGGAAACAGCGCCTGGTGTCCGTCACCCACCAACCTTACTGCACATCCGCCTGCCTGGAAACAGCACCTGGTGTCCATTACCCACACAGACTGACAGCGAGCATCACCAAAGGACCTCCCCTCTAGACCAGGACATCAGAACCCTGTGTTTTTCCAAAAATACTGCCAAGGCCCAAAACCTCCCCAGAGGTACCCAGGTGGGAGGACTCCCTATTTCCACAGGTCCCTCGCCTTTGTGTTTGGAGCTGATCGCAGACACCCTTTCGTGGCTTCCTTGCCATCCTTCCCCCTCAGCCTTGCTCTGTCCACCTGGCCCCTTTCTTCACCTCTACTTATCCCCCCTGCCCCCTGCTTCTTTCTCCTCTCCCCAGGTTTCCTCCATTAGCCTTTCTCCTCTGTCTCCTCTCAATCCCGGCTTCCCCGATCTTTCCGCCCACTCCCTTTGTCTTCTTCTCCTCTCTCCACCTCTTCTCACCCATCACTTCTGGTCATCCATATAAGGACAGATGTAGGCAGGACTTCTACTTCCTCTGACCTCAGTTTACCTGCAGAATTTAGACTCCACTCCCGTCTCCTCACACATAGACACACACAGGCCGATCAGCCTTGTTCCCTTTCCCATAGGCTCATAGCATCCCCACATTAGGGAATGCTTGGGAACCAGATTGGACCATAATCTCTGCCTCCATTTTTTTAAAAAGATTTATTTATTTATTTATTTGGTTTTTCGAGACAGGGTTTCTCTATAGCTTTGGAGCCTGTCCTGGAACTAGCTCTTGTAGGCCAGGTATTTATTCAGTATACAGTGTTCTGCCTGCATGACTGCCTGCATCCCAGAAGAGGACGCCACATCTCATTGTAGATGACTGTGAGCCACCATGTGGTTGCTGGGAATTGAACTCAACAACTCTAAGAAGAGCAGCCAGTGCTCTTAACCTCTGAGTCATCTCTCCAGCTGGACTTAAAAACAGGCTTGAGGGAACTAAGGGTTCTGCCTTAATATGTCCAACAGGTCAGCATGAGAACACTGGACTGAGGCCAGATGAGGGGTTCGTGACAGGTGTGCAAGGGGCTAGGTATGTTTGGGGCCATGATTTATGTGTCTGCACCAGAGTTGGCCACAGGGCATGGTTCATTGTCCAGGTGTTGTCCAGCTGCGTGCCTGTGAGTGAGTGTCCATGGAGTGTGTGAGTCAGCTGTTGAAGAGTGGACATGTATGTTTCCCTGAATACATCCCTGGTTGTGTGGGGGTGTTCCTGGGTTGTTTGAGCTGTTGAGACAGTGTCTCTTGTCGTTCAGGCTGGCCAGCGTGCTGGGTTTGCAGGCGTGACCCCCCCCCCCCGTCAACAGTTCCCCAATCAGCTGTTCTCTATCCTTGTGTGCACACCTACACCCCCAAGCCAGTGCCCTCACCTCCACGTGGCCAGAGCCGTCATCCACCATTCTGAGCTGGGCTGCTAGCTCAGGCTGGGTGTGCAGCTTGCTTACATCCAGTTTTGCCTGCATCCGTTTATCTGCGTGTGGAGTTTAGAGTCAGTGACATTCCTCAGTGTCTCTGGGCCCACGCGCTCCTCACCCATCTCAGAGGCCCAGGGCACGCCCTCTTTCTGCCCATCCTCCTCACCTGTTCTGCCCCCTCCTGATTTAGAATCCCTAGCAGCCTCTGGTTCCGTCCAGGTCTGCCCTTGTCCCAGGCTCCACCTCCACACCCCACCTCAAGGCTCCACCCCAGGCTCCACCCCGCACCCCACCCCCCAGCTCCCACTTCCGCACCCCACCCCAGGCTCCACCCCCCGCACCCCACCCCAGGCTTCACCCCAGGCTCCACTCCCCCACCCCCACCCCCAGGCTCCACCCCCAGGCTCCACCCCCTACTCACGGCCTCCTCTGTGTTTTTTCCCATCTGGCTCCTTCGACCACGTCTGGAACAGCTGCTGGAAGGCGGTCGACTCGGCACCATCGCTCACCACCTCCACGTTGGTGCAGCTTGGGTAGCCCTTGGCCTGGATGAAGCCCTGGGACACGACTCTGTCAGGCAGGCCTGAGGCTCAAGGACTCTAGGCTGTGTTCAATCCCCAGAGACATCCCTCAACTGTAGCTACCAAGACAGCCAAGCTCTGAACTGCATTAATTAACTAACCATGAGACCCATTTTACAAACCCGCTCCCTCACGACTGATCTTCCAGTCTCTGAGGGTAGGCAGGGTCCCTTAGTCCAAGTCGGGTGAAGCACTAGCCATGACATAGCCTACTGTCCCATAAACCTCCTCTGCCCCCAGTGGAGAGGGCGCTCAGGCCTCAAGGCCAGGCTGAGACCTGCACACTGACGTCTTGGCTGTCAGGAATCTTCCCCTCCACGTAAGGTTTCCGGGGTAGACACACTCACTTCCTGACCCCGGAATAAAGATGTTCCAGGAGAGCCATTTCTTCCCTTCTACCCCAGGCAGGGCATCCTGTATCAGATCTGTCTTACTTCCCTGGAGGGGCCCCAGGACCTCACCACAGCCCTGCTCAACGCAGCCTTCTTGTCCTGGGGGCTGGACTTCCGTCCCTGCCACATGTAAATCTTGAAGCCACCCTGGTCCAGGAGATAGCAGCCCTAGGAAAAAGGCTGAGTCTGGTCAGCAGGGACGGGAGTTATGAGGGGAAGGGGTGGGGTACCAGACCGGGCTTTCCTTACTTCCTCTTGCAGGAGGTCCTGGGTCAGTGGGCGGGTCGCCAATTCCTGGACCACCAGGTCCGTTCCCTTTTCGAAGACACTGTGGGGCAGGCATTCAGATGTGGACAGCTGGTCTCTTCCTGGCCTGATGCCAGCCTAGCACCCTTGAACTCCTCTGGTTTCCCAGAGACTGAAGTTATGAGCTGTCAACTCAATTATTCTGCCTCTCCCTGGGGCTTAGGTGGCTCTTTGAAACCCCCACAGGGCTTCAGTTGTCCCATCTGTACTATGGGCTTTTCAGTGACGCTACCACACACCACGTAAGAGGGCAGATCATGTGGGCCCACCACCCCACTTGACCTTCCCTGGAGACCTCCATGTATTTACTAGAGGTTTCCGTGGAGATGTTTTGCTGTTTTAATAACGACACACAGTTGTGGCCCCCTCCCTCTCCCCGTGCCCTCCCCCAGTTCTGCTCACTGGTAGAGACGGACGTTGGCCTTCTGCTGCTGGCTAACACTGTCGCTGGGCACAGCGGCACTCAGGCTGCCTGATCTGCAGCCCAGCACAACCTCCATGATGTGTACAAGGTCCATGGCTTTGTTCTCGTCATCCACCACACCGATCTGGGCACGGCCACCACGCTCCCTGTCCTTGAGGCTACAAGTCAGGGCCAGGGCCTGCAGGAGAGGAGCCGGGGCTCAAGGCTTCTTGGGAGCGGCTCCTTGTTCCACACACAGACAAGCCCAGTCTTTCTTATCGCTGCGTGGTACCCGCAGGCACGGGGATAGGGATAGGGGAGCTGGTACCCTGTCATTTTAGTGTTCCCAGGTCTGCCGTGTCCCACCAGTGGCACAGCTCTACCTAACAGAGGCCTGTGGATTGGGACTGAGAGCCCACTACCTCTTGAGGTGGCCAGATTATGACCGCTTAGAGAGCTACCTCTCCCCAAGCCCTGTATTCCCAGTTCTAAGGGCAGACACTGACCCGTGATTTCTCAGAAATACTGGTTTTGGGTCCGTTCCACTGGATCATCACCTTGCCCAGGTCCAACAGGAAGATGTCCCCCTTATTAAAGCTGTTCCAGGACAAGGTCACCTTCCAGAGCCAGGAGAGAGGTGTGGAGGGAAAAGGTGTCAGACCACCAGAACCAAAGGCTGGGGAGGGGGGAAAGGGGAGGGGGAGGGGTAAGGCAGGGTGTGTCGCCTGTATGCGTGAGGTTGTATGCAGCTGTATGTGTGTGTATGTGAGACAGCAAGCAGGCTTGCATCATCATAGGCACATGTGACCTTTCGTGTGACTATACAGAAGTGGGACAGAGGCAATTGCTTATCTCTGTATGAACATGTATACATGCATATATGGAACACATCATGTGAACAAGAGTATGTTCTCAAGGGGACAGTATCTATGTGCCTGTGTGGTGACAGTATGCAATGGAACCTAAGGATGGTTATTGAAACAGACACATTTTGAGGACACCGAATAATCCCAACGGCATAATGGGTCAAACCAAGGACTACATAACGCCCATCCCCACCTGACCAGGATTCTGTGAGGTTTTGATGCAGGGTCTGGGAAGGATTGTGCGCATCCCAGGGCTGCCGTAAACTTGGTTGACTGTCATGTAAAGGAGGTGACTAAAGGGTCACCTCCACACTGTAGATGATGCTCATTGCATCAAACTCTGGCCGCGAGCAGAATGTCTAGCTCCTCTGTTCATTTCCTGGTGCGGGAATGTAAAGGGGGGCACTGCTTGGACGAGAGTGAGGGTGCCACCCGGGGATGACGAGGTAGGACAGTGTGAGTGCGTGTGTGTGATGATGGACGGTGTGAGAGAAGGTGTGAGGCTGTGCACACTCCCATCGTGCTGCCTTCAAGGGCCCAGTGCACACCACGTCTGCCTCCTCTGGTCACGTTCTCCCATGAGGCATGAGGAAAGATGGGGCCCAGCAGCAGAGCAGAGGTGGGGCCAGGAACCCAAGGCTGCTCTGTTAGTGAGATGGGCCACCTGGGGAGCTGTCGCTCACCGCTCCACACACTCCCCTCATTCCCTGCCTTTCTCATGCTTCAGGATACTCAGCCCATGTGACTCTGGAGGCCAGACCATGTCCCCGTCTGCTCTCACCTCGGTGGCAGACACATGCTTCCTTCCCCTGATGTGCAACAGTCGCTGGACATTGTACACGTTGGTCTCCACATGCTTGAGGGCAGAGGCTCGACCTCCTTTCCTGTAGCTGAGGAAGGGACTGGAATCCGTGAATGAAAACACACCTTGTGTAGGAATGAGTGTGGGAGTAAGCAGAGGCTCGTGTGCAAGTCTGTGTGGGAAGGTACGTGTCTGTGATACATATGTCTGAGTACATGTGAGCATGTGTATGCGTCAGCACGAGGCACAATGTGCATTGCTTATTAGCATGTAGAATTGTGTAGACTTCGGTACGTTTGGGGATTTCAGACGTATTTTTTACCCAGGTGAGACTAGTTGTGAGTACATGGAAGGGCATATCTGTGTGGTAGACATGAATATTTAGGTATGCACTCCCATCTACAGGATGCATGGGGTGGCATGTATGTTTTCACACACACACAGACTTGTCTGCACTATATGCAAATATTCAACCCGGTGATATGAAACAAAAATGATTTAATATTGGCAATTAGGTTAATCATTTTCAATCTAAAAATGTGGCAATTAAAAAATATTTGAATGCTGAGTGGTGGTGTACGCCTTTAAGCCCAGCACTTGGGAGGCTAAGGCAGGCAAATCTCTGTGAGTTTGAGGCCAGCCTGGTCTACAAAGTGAGTTCCAGGACAACCAGAGCTACACATAGAGAAACTCTCTCTTGAAAAATCAACCAACCAACCAAACAAACAAACGAACGAATGAACAAACAAACAAAAAAAAAGTTTGAAGCAAAAGTAAAAGAGACACTTCTCCCAGCACGACCAAGCAAGCCCTAGGTAACACTGGTGACCACTCCCGGGTACAGACCGAGATCAACAACAATTGCTCCACAGATATTCACAGTAGCGCTATTCATAACATCCCCAAACAGAAGCAGCACCCATGTCCACTAGCTGATAACATGTGGTAGATTCATACAAAGGATTAGCATTTCACAGTGAAATGAAGTGAAGGGAAACACATACCACAGTATGGGTGAATCTGGACAACAGGGTCAGGGAGGGGTGGGGCTTAGTGGTCGAGGCTTGCCTGCCATGTGGGCAAGGACGAGGAGGAGGAGGAGATGGAAGAAGAAAAGATTAAGACAAAGTGAACATTAGTCAGCCATGGAAGCTCACTTTCTGTGTAGTTCCAGAATGGCAAACATAGACAGAGAACGGGCTAGATGCTGCCTCTGGCAGGGGAAAGGATGCAAGAAGGACCCGGAAAGAGGCTGCCCAAAGTCAGGGGGCTTTTCAGGGTGAGGAAAATATTTTAAAACTGCGATAATGTCTGCCTGTATATACACTTCCGCGCCCCCGCCCCCATGCACGCACGCACGCACGCACGTACTGTTCAGCCAAAGAAAAGCCGGCATCTCAGGATACCCTCATCAGAGTATTTAGCACACTGTGTCCTCGCTCTGTTCCCCGCTCCTCAGCACTCACATGACTCCAGGGTGGAAATAGCTGTGGAAGCAGTCCGACTCATGGCCCTGTGACTCTCGGTGCAGCACCGTCTGGTCTCCTAGAACCTCCTGGAGGCGCTGCACACAAGTAACTGCCGCCCCCTGGGTCTCCACACTGGCCTCCTTTCCAATCCAGTAGTGCAGGTCGCTGGACCCTCCCCGGTTAGCCTTTGGGCTCTGAGGGACCTAGGGTTCAGGCATTTGTGTATGTGGAGTGGGAAGGGACCAGGCTTACTCCAGGGCGTGGTGGGAGAGTGAGTGAGGTGGAGCCAGTGGACAGGCGCTCGAATGGAGGCTATGAGGGAAATGGGGACTAGAAGACCTCAAGGCAGCAGCCCCTGGTGGGTGGCATGTGGTATGGGGCTTCTGATCTCAAGATAGTTTATTTCCAGGCCTGAGTTTCTTCAGCTCTGGGCCTTGCCACTCCTCAGAAAGACTCCCCAAGTGACTTACGTGAAGGATGATATAGCAGCATTCCTCGAAAAAATTCCCATGGGCCCTCTCAGGCAGTAGCAGCATCTTTAGGTTCTGAGAGAGGAGGTCGCCAAGAAGCAAGTTAGGGACCTCTACCTATGACGGCCAGCAATAGGGTGGAGGAGGGAGCTCTAGCCGGGAGGTGGGAGAGCATGGTGACACTAATCCAAGTCCCAGGCTGTGCTGTCTGGTCTTGCTCCTCACCTCAGTAATCCATATTTGGAGAGCTCTGTGGCTGTCAATGGCTGGGAGGTCCTGGTTGGTGTCCATCCTAGGCTAGGCAAGAACGATGGTGATGCAAAGGTTGGGGGACAGTCTCTGCTAACACAAGTGTGTGTTATAGGCTCCAAGCAAGAATTCTTCTGCCACCTGAAGCTTTCCAAAGCACCTTCACGAGAGAATGTAACCTTCGTTAAACATGCAACTTCAGCAGACCAGGACAGGCACAGTGGACGGGCTTATGGGGGCCTGGATAAACTTCAGCAAACCGGGAGAGACGCAGTGATGGGCATACAGCAGCCTGGTTTGTCTGTGGGCATGCTTTCCAGCAGGCAGAGCTCTCTGGCCAGGAGTGCCCTTCACCTCGCAGCAACATCTGGAGACAGAGTTAGAAACTGGCCACCAACCGCTTGAGGTGCAGTTCAGTTGGTAGAATGCCTAGCATGCAGAAAGTCCTGGGTTTGACCCCCAGCACCACACAGAACCGGGCATGGTGGTGCATGGCTTTAATGCCAACACCCAGGAGGTGGAGGCAGGAGGATTGGAAGTACAGGATTCTTCTCAGCTACAGAGAGAATCTGAGGCAGATCTTGTCTAAGAGAATCAAAGGGAAAAAGAAACATGGAGACAGCTTTTAGCCAGACCTAGGGTCTGCAGACTCTGGACAGTTACTGTAGATAGTACCAAATTAGACTCTTACAAAAGGAACCAGTGGGGCTCAACGCTGTATGAAAAGGCAGGTTCTGACCTCAAGGAAAGGCAGAAGCTACACAAAGGTCTGACAAAGTTAGAAACAAGCGTGTAAGTAGACACAGGGCCTGCGCAGTGCAGCAGGCTGTGTAGATGGGGACTTCACAAACAGTCACACCTTCTGCAGACTGACGAAGCACTGAACGACTCAAGCTCTCCAGAGAGAAAGGAAGACTTCAAACAGGGGCTCTCCATGTATACAAGGACAGCTTTGGGGAGACCCAGGCACTGCCCAGGGAAAGTCAGACAGACTGGGCAAATAGGCAAAGACCGGAAGCTGAGAAAGGCTCCGCAAACAGGTATGGGTTCTGCAGGTGCACAGGAGCTTAGTAGCCTGGGGATGGTTATGCTCACGGGAATAAGAAAGGACTCTGTGGAAGGGGCAGCGTCCGAAGCTACGGGCAAGCGCAGTGATGCAGAAGGCTCCGCAGACAGGAGCCACACCGTGGCCACAGAAAGGCCCCAAGTTGGAGGCAGGCTTTAAAGCCTGGGAGAGCTCTATAGACACGGTAGAGCCTCCTATGTAGGATACCTCCAGCAAACAGACGAGAATAGGTGGGGAAAACCGTGAGGCCTTGCAAAGAGATTTCAGGTCTGTAAAAAGACGCCTGTCCTGCAGTCAGGTCAGGGAGTTTGCCAAAGAGCTGAGGCTCCGTAAGCCTGCAGAGGATCTATGGCCTGGTTATGCCAAAGGTGTTGACGTCACCAGAGAGGCATGGAGCTGCAGGCTGAGTCACAGGGAAGCCAGCGCTGTGGGCAGGCACACGTCACTGTGGACACAAGCAGGATTCTGAAGCAGGTCTGGGTTCTGGGGGGAATGTGGGGACCCCTGGGTCTTGCAAAGCAGAACAGGCTATATAGGTCAGATTGGAAGTGGATGAGCCCCGCCCGCAGGTCCACCGGCAAGCAGGAGCGTCCAGAGGCTAGGGTTCTGAAAGCAGGGGTGATGTCTGCAGGAGCAGGTGGGTGTCGCCAGACAAACATAACCTCTGTCCCGTGAGAAACTCCACTGGAACATGCTGAACGAATTTCCACCCAGGTCAGTTCAGACAGGCTGTGCAAAGGGGGAGAGCCTCCTAAAAAGATCACGGGGTCACACGGGAGACTCAAGCTCGCAGAACACAAGTAGACAGAAGATGGTTCTAAAGTGGAGGAGGCCCTGCCATGAGGTCACAGAGACACGCCAGCCATCCGCAAATGCAAGGATATTCAAGAGAGACACTTGTGTCCCACCCTATAGGTGACAACCCTCCCAAGTGGAATGTCCTCAGGAATTTCATTCTGGAGGGAGGGTCGGCTTGAAGGAGGGCTTGGCTCCCAAAGAGAGAGTTCACAGTCTGACAATTTGTCACAACACCTTGCTGGGCAGATTGGAGCAAAGAGAACAAAGCCAATGGTGGGTCAGTGGCAGGCGGACCGGGCTGCACTTTGAGCAGGACCGCTCAGTCATGCAAACCTCGTGTGTGCCCATTTAACCCTCATAGTTGTGGTCACTGCTGCTCTGTTTGTTCCTCTTCTCAGTGTGGCCGCACTGGCTAAACTTCCTCTTTCTGCTTTTCATTATTATCCCTTTGGTTGGCCTGGTGAGTATGGGTGACTGAGCCTCGCTTGTAGGACCCTGAGGGATGAAGCTTTGCCCCTCAAACTTCTGATAACATTACCGTGGAGGAAACAGTTGTCCCTAGACAGGAACAGGCACCATAAGCAGACAATTTTTGGGGTGTGAACTGCTCTGTAGCCAGGACAGGTGTGCGTGCATGTCAGCATCTGCAATAAAAGCGAATCTCAAACGTGGGGACGACACCTAGACTGGAAACAGGTACCGGCTCTACAGGCGCGACAAACAAGACAAAAGTTCTGTCAGCTCAGGACAGAGACTCTATACACAGCTGTGACGGAATCTGCAGCAAGTGACAGGCTCAGGTGGCCAGAGAAGGTTGGGCCAATGAAGCATTTGCTTTCCTGATCCAGCCTTGAAAGATGGTCGGATAAACACACAGGTGCTGCAAACAGCGGCTGAGCTCGCTGTAGTCCGGGCTGTGGTTCTGAGTGGGTAGAGGAGAAACACAGCCAAGGGCTGTGGAGAAGGGTGTGCCAGCACTGTCCTCTCACATCCCTGTACACCTGCTTTGGAAATGGCAAACAATTATGGGCTCTACAGGCACGGAGAGTAAAGTTTTGATTACTCCTCGGTGTGACTTCCACATCGAACCGAAATCCTGCCAGCCGCCTCTCCTCACTGCTGCTCAATTGGCAGACACAGCCACTGGGTTCCTGAGTCTCTCCCATGGGTGGCCCTGGTGCAGCACTGACGGCTTTCCTCTGGAATGGGCACCCCAGCCCGGCCCCATCAACAGCAAGATGCCCTCTGTGACAGGGGAGAGTGGACAAGATGAGGGAAGAGAGTTACAGAACCTTAGCTGGTATGGTGGCTCACATTCTCTGCTCCTTTGTCCAGGGCCCTTGAGGACTGGGCTCAGAACAAGGTGGCCTGGGAAGGGGGTGGGGCAGGGGGCTGTCCATGCAGAGCCACACCAGCGGAGGCTGTGAGCTGGTGCAGTAATGGGAGCCTGGTGCAACACAGTGCCAGCCTCCCCTACCGCCCTGAGGAAATCGTGTGCTGCTTAGGGTCTCTCAACATGGAGCAGGACAAATCCACAGACAGTTGCTGACTGACTGAGGCTCAGGCAAGACGGGCGCGGAAGGGAGTCACCAGGCAAGCTAACAGCACCTCCAGTGGTTGTCACCATTGTGCAATAATGACATACGTGACAGGCAGGCACAGTGATGCTCTCCAGCAACAGAAAACGTTATGATACACCATGGCGGGTAGGATAACGGGGCAAGAGGACCCTTCAACAAAGACACCGAGTTGATATGCAAAACCAGCGTGACAGGAGAGTGACCAGGTACCCAGACAGGCAGGGACCCGAGGCACAGAGATCTGGAGAGCTAGAAGGTATACAGGTCATGTAACTAGACGGACCGCATCGAGATGGGAAGATCACTGCCCAACCTTAGGGCCACAGAGGAGAGGACAGGCAGATTAGCAGCCGGAAGTAGCACTAAGCTGGCTTCAGTGGGAGGGGCAGCATCGTCCCAAGGGTGGAAGGCAAGGTGCCCGGATACCCGCAGCCTGGGGAGTCAGACTGGGGCTGAAACCCCATCCCTGTTGCTAGGGCAGAGACATTTAAAGTATGGGGTCTCTTTACTCCTTTAACACCCCACATTTCCTCCAGGTGCCTTCCTCCAGAGCTCCTGTCTTTTCCCAGAGGGTCACCTGCGGCCCATGAGCTCCTACCCCTGGATTCCCCCTTTGGTTTTCCAGTAGCTTCCCAGAGAGGCTGCCATCCCATGCCCTCTGACCTCCCTCTGCCCTAGAAACCCTCTTACCTTCCCAGGGTTCCTGTATCTCCTACATTGACTTCCTTCTTCTCCCTCCCCCAGGGGCTCTAATCCACTGTGCAGACTTCTGTCCATATCTCTCCCTTTCTCTCCCCAGGGCACCCCTTCTCCCTCCCAGATGTCCCCTCCTCCTCAAGGTGCCCCCCTGCCCTGCTCCCGGTACCTTCTTTCCTCCTTGGGTACCTGAGGGTAAACCCTGAGATTTCTTTGCTCAACTTCCAGGAGGGAGAGCGCAGGCTGCTGGAGGCCAGTGGGGAGGAGTTAGGCAAACCAGCTCTGAGGGTGACAGAGACCTCACCCACATGCAAAATCTGTCACTTCTTCCCCTCATGCTGGCTTGCCAGAGTGGCCCTCCTCCACCAGGGCCGCACACCCAGTGTCTTCACCCTGGGGCTGTCCTCAGTCTGCCAGCCTTCTGAGCCCTGGGACGCCGCAGCCCCTCTACCCACACCTGGTTCCCAAGGCCCCACCAGCTCAGGCCTACCTTCTGGGAACCGCTCCTGCACCTTCCTTCACCCTGCTTGTGGGCAGTGCGAGGCCTGGCACGCTGCCAGGCTCTGCCCATCGCCCCTCCCTTCTAACTGTAACTCAATCCCAGCTCCTGCCTTGCAGGACACACCCCAGAGATCTGTGCAGCAAGGACTAGGTATTCAGACTTAGTCAGTTAATAAATATTGACCAAGCCGTCTGGGAGCCAGCCCCCTTCCCATGGCCTGGGAGACTCACCTCTTTGATACTAGTGGGCAGGGGAAATAAGGGGTGAAGGCCTGCACTGGGCAGGAAAAACACTTATTCTGTTCCTAGGAGCTCAAATGGGCAAACTGTCCCACCTCCCAGGGAAGAGGGGTCCTTTTGGATTCAGGGGTTCAGGCCACTGTAGTGCATCTGTGATACCGAGGTCACTTTAGCAGGTAAAGGAAATGGCGGGGCTGCCTCCCGGCATCTCCCAGTCCCCACCTTCCATCTCGGGCTGGCTGCCCAGCATAGCCCTCCCTGGGGAGCCTTGATATCCATCGTGGGAGAGGCCACGGAGTCCCGGCAGCAAAGAAATCTCTTCCACACACTGGCTGCCCCTCTGTTACTCCTCCTGATTGTGGGGTATGAGAGTGCTGGAAACAGAGCCCTCTGGAAATGTTCAGGACATAGCCACCCTTTATTCTGCCTGTTACAGCCCCCGTGCCAGATGAGGTACAGCCAGCAGGCGCCTCTCCTCCAACACTACGATAGCCTGCCGACTGTCAGCCAGAACCCTTTCTGGAGTGAAATCTTTCTCTACAAAGTTCCACGTCACAGCAGTGGACACTCCAGGAACTCCAGGTCACTTTGTGCCCAGTGGCCAGTGTGCACGTGTTTTGCAGGGTCACGCTGTGTCGCCCAGGCTGGCCTGGAACTCATAACCCTCCCGCTTCAGCCTCCTGAGTGTTGGGATGGCAGATGTGTACTACTGTGATGGGCATAGCTAACAGGTCCAGTCTATGACCTGTGTCACAGATACTTGTGCAGTTCCGTGTTGGGTCGCAGCAGTCAAGGCACGCCTCTATCTCTGTGTGTTGGGCTCCACCTATGCACTGATCGCCTGTGTCCTTGTGTCTCCACTCCTTCCCATTTCCTTTTTACCAGTCTGCTGGTTTCTGTTCCCACACTTCCACGTTGCCAGCGGCAGCTGGTTCTGTCACCGCGTCCCTCCCTCTGTCTCCTTTGGGGTCTTGAAAGTCAGCAGGCACACTGCTCAGGCCTCGGTCCCTCTCAATTTTCTACTTTTCTTCCAAGTTCTGGGGCCTCGTTCTCATCCCCTGTCCCCACACCTAGATTCAGTCTCCTTACTGAACCGGGCAGTCACATTGCTTCCTGCCTGCTGCCCTGCTCTGGCAGCCAGCTTCGACCGGTTGGTGACTTGAAGAAGACACTTTGTCTTGGCCTCCCTGGCCCTACATCTTCCTCCTCACACAGCAGCCAGAGGGACTTAGATTTATTTTTTTATTACGTGTGTGTGTGTGTGTGTGTGTGTGTGTGTGTGTGTGTGTGACATGCGCACGTGTGCACATACTATGGGATGTATACGGAGGCCAGAAGATAACCCGTGCAGGCAGTTTCCCCTTCTGCTATGTAAGTCCCAATGGACCAAACTCAAGTTATCTTGACAAGCATCCTTACCCATCCACTCAGCCATCTTGCAATACCATTTTTTTCATTTTTTTTCTAAAACAGGGTTTCATTTACCCCAGGCTAGCCCTGAACTATGTAGCTGAGTATGACCCTGAGCTACTTACTGATCCTCCTCCTTCTACTGCTTAAATACTGGGATCTCAGGAGATCACCACTACGCCTGGCTTGTTCTCTTCCTCCTTTCCTTCCTCCCCCCCTCTCTCCCTCCCTCCCTCCCTTCCTCCTTTCCTCTTTCCTCTCTTTCTCCTCCATCCCTTCCTTTCTCCTCTCTCCCTCTTTCCTCCTTCCTTCCTTCCTCCCTCCCTCCCTCCTTCCTTCTTTTCTTCCTTTTTTCTCTTCTCTCTCTGAGAAAGGGTTTCCATATATAGCCCAGTTTGGCCTCACACTCATGTTGTGGGATACTCTTTTTGTACACTGTGAAGAAGTGCCTTTGCCAAGGCTCCTGCTGATTGGTTTAATAAGGAGCTGAATAGCCAATAGCTAGGCAGGAGAGGACAGAATTCTTATCGGGAAGACATAAGAATTCTGGGGAAAAGAGAGGTGGAATTTGCCAGTCAGATGGGAGAAGTAACGCGCCACATGGCAGAATATAGATTAATATAAATGGTTAATTTAAGTTATAAGAACTAGTTGGGAACAAGCCTAAACTAAGACTAAGCTTTCATGATTATTAAGAAATCTATGTGTCACTATTTGGGAGCTGGACCTGTTAAATACTTGCGGCAATCTTGCTTCAGCCCAATGCTGATTATGGGACTGCGCCAGTCTGCCTTCGAGGCTCCCTGCCATGATTTTATAAAAACACAGCCATGCCTTGGTATCTGTAAGAAGACTATGCTCTCCATGGATACCCAAATCAAAGGCTGCTGAAGCACTTCATACAAGATGATGAGCTAGTATTGACACACAGTCCCCACCCCTTCCCTATACTATCTATTTCTAAGTCATCACTTAGTTTGGCTGTTGCTTATTCTTGAAACAGATTCTCAGTACATCAACCAGGTTGACCTCGAACTCACAGAGGTCTGTCAGCCTCTCCTTCCTGAGTGCTGAGATTAAAGGCCTGTGCCGCCACCACCACCCGATCACCCTACACTTTAAAGTGTACAATTCTGTGGCATGGGGACACTGACCATCACCGCTATCCATACATATCACTACCTCTCTAGCTTCCCAAAGAGAAACTTTACGTGGCTGAGGAGATGGCTCAGCGGGTAGAACACGTACTGCAGAAACACGAAGAACTGAATGTGGATTCCTGGTATCCATGTAAAGGTGGAGTGTGCTGCACACACCTGTACTGAGACTGGGAGTGTCTGCGACAGGATCCTAGGTGAGCTCTGGGCTCAGTGAGAGATTCTGTCTCAAAGAATAAGGTGGAGCCATGATTGAGGAGGACATGCGGATGTCAGCCTCTGGCCTCTTAACTCAAACGTCACTGCCCACAGGGAAGCAGCCTCCTGACCCAGCCATTCCTTGCTTCCTGCTTTCTGCCCTAAACTGAAACTCGGTTAGTTGGGCCCTTCTCTGGGACTTGTGGGCCCAGGGAGAATGTGGGCCCATTGAGGTAAAAGGCCCTGTCATTGCTGTGTCTTTGAGGATGGCAGCTGAGGGCCACTGCTGTTAGTCAGATAGTGCATTACTGTGATTTGTCCCATGGGGTATGTGTGTGTGTGTGTGTGTGTGTGTGTGTGTGTGTGTGTGTGTGTGCAAGCAGGCATGTGCTCTGTATGGAACCAGGGCACGGAATTCTCTCCACAGTTCTTCTATGTCCCTACTCTGGCGCCCCTGATAAGAGACCTCAGGCTCTTTTATCTATCTATCTATCTATCTATCTATCTATCTATCTATCTATCTATCTATCTATCTATCTATCTATCTATCTATCTAATTGACATTTCTTTCCCAGGAGGTGATACGCCTCCAATCCCCAATTTGGGAAATATGCCCCATTTAGTGCAATCCAGTGCCAGAAGCTTAATGGTGGACACAAAGCTCCTCCAAAAGTTCTCCTCAAAATTCTTTGTGTCAAAACCACCCCACCCCTCACGTGCCCATCCCCGAACCCGTGACCTGTGGTTGCAGAACCTGGAGACGTGCAGGCAGACTAGGACCTGACCTTGGTGTCTGGCTTGGGTCATCTTGTGGCCATCACACCTATGACAGAGAGAGAGAGAGAGAGAGAGAGAGAGAGAGAGAGAAAGAGAAGGAGGGGAGGGGAGGAGAGCTGAGGAGAGGAGAGGAGAGCAGAGGAGAGCAGAGGAGAGGAGAGGAGGAGACTGAGACCAGGGATAGGCTCAGTTACTTCAATACTGAGGGCTGAGGGACAGGGCACTTACCCTCTCTCTCCTTCCCTAGAGCAAGAAAGGGGTTCTGGTCCACTTTCTCTGCTTGGTCACCCCTCCCCTGTGGGCATACCCACCCTAATCCTGAGCTGTTAGTTTGGGGTCTGATGAGCTGGGCTTGCCTGGCTGTGCTGTCTGCTAAGTTCCTCATCCCACTGACTTCTGGCCCAGGTGGCTCTGCAACCCCAACCCATGGGTTTCCAGGGATTTGGGGCTACTGTGCTCTTGCCAGCTTATCTCTAGGGCCCTACCTTCTTCGAGTCAATATTGACCTAGGTGAGGGAGTAGTGGTAGGCCTCACCCCATGGCCCCCAGGTGATCTCTGCCTACTCTCCCCCAGGCTGGTGTGCAATCTCCCTGCAGGGGAGGCATGGGAAGGGTCACCTGACTCTAGTCTTGCTAACACTCGGCGAGCTTGGGGATACTCCAATTCTTGTCCCTTCCACTCTGACCTCTGTGACTGCTGAGTCCTCACATCTGGCTGCAGGACAAGGAAATAGAAGCGACTCAACCCCCAAGGCAGGAATTCCTGGGGATCAGATCCTGTGGGTGTTGGGACAGTAAGGTACTCAGGGCAGATGAATCGCGGGCCTCTCCAAGGGCAAGCTGCCTCACTGTTTCTTCGCTCATAGCAGTGAGGGGAATATGTCTGTGAGGACATAGGATACAGCTTGGGGCAGAGCACGGTCCTACCCTTGATGCAGGAGAGTGAACAGCTGTGTTCTGCTCCTGGCAGGTGTCCTGGGCTCCCATTCACTTGACCCAACCAAGGTTTACAAAAAAATATTTTTATTTTACCTGTATTGCGTGAAGGCCTGCATATATGTCTATGCATCATGTATATGCCTGGTACCCACAGGGGCCAGAAGAGGGCACTGGATCCCCTGGAATTGGAGGTATAGGTTGTGAGTCACCTGATAAGGGCTGGGAACTACTACGACCTCCAGAAGAGCAACAGTGCTCTTAACTGCTGATTAACTGCTGAGCCATCGCTCCGGACGCTCAACCAGGATTCTCACCTAGCACAGACAATGCTCTGGCCATGGAAAGGCTCCTGGTACCCAGGGAGGACTTCTTGTGCTTTTCGAGGTTCCGTTTTAGCAGTGAACATGTATAAACCATCTCCCCAAGAACGCTGTATGGCAACTCCCAAAACCCTGCACATGGCAGCTACACTGTGTGGGCACCAGGCCTGGGGACAGTTTGGGGGCAATTTTCCCACTCCTCTGTAGCTAGTCAGCTGTTTCCAGCCCTGGTTGCACCTTCTAGTCCCTTGGATTATTTTAAGGAAGGCTCCCCTTCTGAGAGGTCTGAGTCAAAGTGCCAGGGTGGCCTTGAGAAGCCTAGCCTTTTCCTTCTCTACACGTATTGGTGTGTATGAGCATGTTTGTGTTTGTAGGTGCATGTGTACACATGCATGTGGGAGGCTGGAATGTCATCCTCAGGATGCTGTCTACCACCTTTGGTCAGGGTCTCTCATTGGCCTAGAGTTTACCATTTAGGTAGGCTAGACTGGACTTCCAGGGAGTCCCAGGAGTCCGCCAGGCTCTGCTGCCCTAGGTCTAGGATTGGAAGGGCATGCCACCACTCCTGGCATTTCTGTGCATTTAAGAAACTGAACTCAGGCACTTATGCTTACTTTAGAAGCTTGTATCCTACGTAGGAGCTGGGGCTCCAATCTCAGGGCCTTATAATTCAGCAAGTACTCTCGTCACCTACCGAGCTGTCACCCTTCAGGAACTGGAAACTTTGAGAGCTCCCAGGCGATGTGTGTGTGTGTGTGTGTGTGTGAGGCAGTGCTGAGGAATGCACTTAACCTTTGGTGATTCTCGGTGTAGCCCAACAGGAACTACGATGGGGCTTTGTTTGGAAAGCTTAGGGGCCTGTACGCCTCTGTCTCATAGCCCGAGGGTTCAGCCTGTTCTGGGGTTAGCCTGATGCCTCACTAGTTAGAGGTTATGGGCTTCGAGCATCCTGTTGATCTTGAGCAAAGGGAAATTAACAGGTCTGGATACTCCAGGGACCCTGACCACAGCCCACAGGCACTTCCTGTCCATCTCACCAACTGCCAGCTAGCTTGCTGTCACTCCCAGGCTGTCCTTACCTCTGCTCCCTCCTTTCCATTCTTCCTGTCATAACTAGAAAAGAACAGAGCACATTTCGGGGAAGCCAAGTCCCAGTTAACTGTCCTCTTTGTAACTGTCTTCTCTCCACCTGCCTGGGCACTCACTAGGCGGCCACAAGCCTGTTTGTGAGGTGTAAAACAGGAGAGGATGTGAGAGCAGGAAGGACCAGGGAGTAGAGCGAAGCAAAGGATGGGGGCACGCTGGAAGTCAGAATCAGGCTAAGGCAAAGTGACCGTTGTCTGGCTGGGCAGTTCTGCTGGGACGGGCAGAGATGTGGTGCTCATAGCTCTATCTCCATCCCAAGGGGACTGGTCCCAGGACCCTCCCCAGCTGGTAGGGCTGGAGTCCTTATGGGAGGATGGAGTCATGCTCCCTGTCTGGAGAAAGAGGGCCAGAGGGCTGAGCAGCTGCCCCTTTTCAAATTATGAGCAATTTGGGTTGGATGGTCTTTTTACTCTAGGTGTCAGAAAGTCTGGCACTGAGTGCTGTGGCCCAGTTCCCATCCACTCTGCTCTGTAGAAGTGAGAACGACCTCAAGACCCACGGTGTCCAGAGAAGGGTGTGGTGTGCAGGGGATGGAAAAAAAAATAAAAAAAACCCACAACAGGCCATACCTCTGGAGAAGCAGGTCAACCATGAGACAGTGCAGTTTCATGAGTTTATTTTTTGGCAGGAGGGAAATCACTGATTGACAATACTTGTCCCCAGAACCGTGCATATTCCACACGTAGTATTTCCCAAGCAGCGCTGGATCGCCACAAGCATCCAGCAGCAATCCGTAACCCCCCAGACACCAGCATCGCGACTGCTGGGGTGGCGATCTGCAGGGCGGCTCCAGGGACAGACACGGTCAGACATACAGCCGCTGGCGTGCCGGCTGTCCAGCACAGCACCATGAGAGCAGAGGCACACACGTCACGAGTGTTTGACCAATAGGGCTGTGTGTTTCCGGATTTTATTAGAAACCAGGGATGTAAAATGCTGCCGGGCTATACACACTTCCAGGCTTCATTTCGTACCCCAACTTCAAATGCTGTAACTATGACAAGTTAGTGTCATTTGGACATTCTCATGTCCCCAATCTCATCGGCATTGCACCACGTCCAAGGAATCCCCACCAACTGCCATGGGCGACAGGTGGTAGAATTATTAGGGCACAAATGCATTGTTCACAAGCAGCTAGTGCATGGAACCACAGACCAACACGGACGATTCCAGAACAAATGGAAGACAGAACACTAACATCATCAGGGGTCGGGGTGCCCAGGAAGCCCCCATTTGAGGTCATGCAAAAGGCGTAGGCTGGAGTCCACAATCCCAAGCCGTCCTGTTCCAGACCTTCACGTCGAAAGCACATGTCTAGGAGAGTGGTCCGAACGTGGAGCTGAGAGGATCACGGAACTTGGGAGGTCAACTGTTTCTTTTGGCTAAGGAGATGGAGTGTTTTGGTAACGTGGGGGAAGATATGGCACACAGAAGTGGCTGATAAACTTTCAAGCCCACACTTTTAATAAACTAACAATTAAAAGCAATACCCGTATTTACCTTAAGAAAATAAACCTCACACATTCGTCTCCTTTCTTGGCCTTGTTAGAATTCTATTGCTTCATTTACAAGTAACTGATTAAAAAATATAGATTTTTTTCTCAATTATGTACATAAAGCAGATTTTTTTTTTAAAGAAAGAAAAATTGACATTTTGGAGCTTGGTCAAATAAGGTGCGGATTTCAGAAGCCTCAGAGGCCCTGCCATGCACCCGAGACATCCCATGTTTGCGGTGGTAAGAAGAACAGGGTTCCCCGTCCGGAAGCTGTGCCTCAAGGGCAGGACCATGCGCAGCTCCAGAACTCTAAGGCCCAGACTGGCCTCAAACCTGTCTGAAGCAGAGCACTGTTGCTAGGCTCACTTCCCCTGAAATATTCTGGAATTTCAGTCCATCCTGCCCCCTTTTCCAAACTGAGACCCGTGACACCAGTACAGCAAGAGGCACAGGTGACGGACGATCTGAGGTTCTCATCCGGGCCTCGTTCTGCGTGGACATGAACACGCGGCAGACACTGCAACACCCAAGACACTTAAGGCAGCGGGATCGGCTAATGACTGGTTTCTGTGAGGATTTATGGCATATGTGGATCTGCCACGTAACTTGTTATCTGTGGTGATGCTTAGCAAAGGGGCAGTTTCTGTTGTAATTGGCACAGGGATCGCTGGGTTCGGAACACTCAGAAAGTCAGGAGATCTGATGATCTATCTCTCTGTATTTCTGCTCTGAATGCACAGTGGTTTCCCAGACCAAAGCACTGTGGGAAGGTAGGCCAGGTAGCTGGCTTCATTATTTTGTGAAAGAAAAAAAAAATTTTTTTTTTTTTTTAAAGTTTGACCCCTGATTTTGAGTCTTGTTAGTGCCAGCAACTCCCAGCAGAAATCTGGCTGAGGCCCAACCCACAGAAGACTAAGGCAACGGTGCCAACACGAAAGGGCTCTTCTCACTCTTCAGGAGAGCGACGTTAACACAGCACTGCTGGACACCACACGGGGAATGGCTGGAAAGAGACCGCTGGGCTCCAGCGAGGAGCCCTTCTCCTTGGTTTGGAGCAACGAGTCTCCCATTTAGACAGGCTTCCCCAACCCTTGGCTTGAAGAGGCTGTGCTTCCAAAGAGGCTGAGATGGACTTGGGCCACATGGAGGTGGCGGCTGGTCGAGGCCACAGGTTCTCAGGCGAGACTGGGGAGCTCTTCCATGGGCTCTGATATTGGCTGCAGTGTGACGTGGACGCCACACCTGAGCGCTGCTCTGGCCCTTATTTATTTATTTATTTATTTAAAAAACCCCTTTGTGCCCTTCAACATTCTTGGTGGCCAGGGCCAAGAAAGGGAGACAGTTGGTGCCGTGCTTGATGGGGCGGGAGGGCCCCGTTTCTGACCCTGTCCAAGCCTGCAGTTTAGCGGTGAGCGTATTCTGAGCATAGGCACAGTGGCGAAGAACAGTGTAACAGCCGCTGGTCAGTTCCATTTGGTGGCAGCGCAGTAGCAGCAAGTCCCACACAGCTCCACGGGTACCCAGCTTTCGGAAGGAAAGACGTGACAGTCCAAGGGTTTTAGGGTTTTCTGTAACTATTCTCCTCAAACCATTGACAACAGGAAAACAACATGGGACAGACGTGTGACCATTGTGGGAAAGCAGATGTGACCCTAACGTCACCGCTCAAGGGGAAAATGCAACCTCAAGACAAATTTTATCAACATCAGAAATCATAATAAAAGGGATTGGTTGCTTCATAAAGCATGGGGCCGTGGGCAGGTACATTCTGGATTGGCCAGAAACAGGTGGGGGCCACGGGTGTCACGAGAAGACTCCCGTAAAAGGGAGCCGGACCCCGCACACGCCACAGGCTGACGTTTGCACCTGATCCACGTTCTCCCTGGCCACACCCTCGCCCCACCACACACAGGCTCCCAGGGTCTAGAAAACTGTCCTGTTTGTTGTCTTAGCATATCTAAGACAGTAAAAGACTAAAAGATGTCTGGAAATAGGTTGTATACAAAAAGTAACTCTCAGCTTAAAATAACATTCGAAAAGGCACTTTATCCTGTAGAAAAGAGATTCTGAGTTGGGTCAGCTGCCCCAACCCGGGACAAAGGGGACGGGCTGTCTCTTGGGAGGGAGGGCAGTTGAAAGAGCGTCTGGAAGAGACCAAGGTTTCTTTTTTTTCTTTTTTTTTTCTTTTTGGTATGTTTTAAGAAAATCGAATCTGGTAAAATGCATGTCCTTTTATGAAATCTATTAAAAGAGTTTTTTTCCTTTAAAATAGTTGCTTCTGTTCTTTAAAAAAGAAAAAAAACAAACAAACAAACCCAAAACGAAACAGGTAGGCAATGGCGACATTCACCCTGTGACCCGGAGCATGGAGTCAGCTCATGGTCCACTCAGAAAGCTGAGGCTGGGAGGGTCCCCTGAGCCAGGGGCTCCAGAGTGCACAGGCAGGGACGGGCCGTGGCCCCGAGGCCCCGAGGCCGGGGCTACCTGCTGCAGAGTCTGTGCAGCATGCCGTACACATCGTCCTCCCTGCTCAGGCCCTCGAAGAACGGGATGAGGTCCAGCAGCTCTGTGTCCGTCATGTCATCGAACCAGGACTGCACAGGCACCTGCAAGACAGGACCCAAGGGTGACACCATCACCGTCGTCCTTTTGTTTGCTCCAGAGCAGCAAGCGCAGCTGGTCCAGAGTCAGTGCTGGAGCTGACATAGGTGTAGGGGCGGCTCAGTGAGGCAGCCGTCCCCAGGGTGTGTGAGCGAGCCCCAGTGAGTGCTCCCACTGAAGAAAAGATGCCCGTTCCCAAAGCTCTTTACGGCACTGCGCTGGCCCCGCTGCTGTGGAGCCCTGGATGCCTCTCAGAGGTTACCTGACAACCACCAACCACAGAGCCCAGTCCAAGCACACAGGTCCAGACTCTACTTAGGGCCACTGCTTTAAGCGGTGTGCCAAAGAGAAGTTCCTGCCCAGGCTTAGCAGCAACCAGGTAAACATGGAAATGTCGAATTTGAGGGCATTTGGAAGATATGGCACAAAGAGAGCTCCCGTTAGTTCTCTGTGGAGGAGGGAGGAAGAGGAGGAGTGGAGAGAAGTTCAGAGTCCCAAGAAGAGATTAAAAAACCAAAAGGTATTCATTTACTTACTTTCAGACCTGGGATTGAACCCAGGGCCTCCTTCATGCTAGGTGAGCTCTTTGTCAACTAAACCATATCAACAGCACTACCTGTGACATATTTTTGTTAGAAAAGGAAAAAGAGGGGGCTGGAGAGATGGCTCAGTCCTTAAGACACCTTGCTGCTCCCCCAAAGGGCCCGAGTTTGGTTCCCAGCACCCACACGAGGTGACTCATGGCCACCTGTAACTTTAGCTCCAGGGATCCAATGCTCTCTTCTGGCTTCTCTGGGTACTGCATGCATGAAACACACATGCATAGATGCAAATAAAAATAAAACAAGCTCTTTCAAACATTACAAAGAGAGGCTAGAGAGATGGTTTGGTGGCTAAGATCAGCACCATGTACTGCTCTTGCAGAGGACCTGAGTTCAGTTCCCAGCACCCACAACAGGCAGTTCACAACCACCTGTAACTCCAGCTCCAGGGAATCTGATGCCCTCTTCTGGCCTCCACTGGTACTACACTCATGTGCATATTCTCTCTTATACATTCAAACAGGTAATTAAAAACAAAACTACAAAAAAAGGAAAAAATTTAAAAGAAGCCCAAGTCTAATCAAATAGCAAATAGAAAGTCTACTTGTTTGCCTGAAGGAGGAAAGGTGGCTGAAAAACATTAATTACTAACAGCCATCAAATTCAGAATATAGAAAATTCCCTTAAGACAACTTGGTAAACTTTCCACAAATAAATGATAGAGAAGAAACGATGGGGAGTGAAGAAATGCTTAGAATGGAGACACATTAAATGAAGCAATGCAGGGACCTTCTTTAGATCCTGACTTAACTGATTCACATCCCAGAAAAACATGTCTAGATGGCAACATGAACAGTGTATACGGTAGCTAATACAAGAAACGGCTGTGTGGAAGTGAACCATGGCAGCGGCGGACACATCCCTATCTGCTGGAGACAACTGCCAGGTGCACTAGGTGGAACTGGATTGGCTCGTTAACATGAATCTCTTTACTTATTTAAAGGGTCTCAGTATGTGGGCCAGGCTGGCCTAAAGCTCTTTACATGGGCTAGGCTGGCCCCCGAACTCACAGAGATCATCTGCCTTCAGAGTGCTGGGATCAAAGGCGGGCACCACCACACCTGGTAACATGACCTTTTTTTTTTTTTTTTCTGAGACAGGGCTTCTCTGTATAGCTTTGGAGCCTGTCCTGGAACTAGCTCTTGTAGACCAGGTTGGTCTCGAACTCACAGAGATCTGCCTGCCTCTGCCTCCTGAGTGCTGGGATTAAAGGTGTGCGCCACCACTATCCGGCAACATGAACATATTTAACTGTGAGGCAGAAGTTTGACTGTTTATTCTTACCTTTTGGCTGAATATAGTTGCGACCCCTTATAATAAGTAGAGACATACAATTCTAGACTTAAAAAGGTATGTATGACAGTGGTGGTGTATGCCTTTAACCCCAGCACTCGGGAGGCAGCGGCAAAGGATCTCTGTGAGTTCAAGGCCAGCCTGGTCTACAGAGTGAGTTTCAGGACAACCAGGGCTACACAGAGAAACCCTGTCTTAGTGGGGGAGGAGGAAGGCAGGGATCTGCATTGCAGGCTTGGGGTGAGCCCAAGAAGCATGTGTCTTTCCCAGAGAATGATCTGGAAGGACTGAGGGCTCGGTGTGATGACCCTGAAGCAGTCCCCAGTAGGCCTGGCTGATCTCTCTCTTCCTGGAAGTGCCCGGCAAGCAGTGGAGGGCACCACTTTTCCGCTCAGTGACTTGTGCTGCCCTGGTGAGCAGGCACTGAGGGCGGCTACGCTCCAGGGAGTTGTACGCGGGGAACCTTCCTACGTGGGCTTCTCGGACGTCACTCTGAGGAGGCAAACCTGACAGTCTGATGGGAAGCCATTTCTAAAATGCTTTATTCACCGAGGATACACTTCCTTAGGAGTCATAAAGCTCCGTGAAGTTAGTGCCAGACAGAAAGGGCCCTCTCTATCACAACACTCAGTGCTACGGAGCGCAGCGGACCGAGCCAGGTTCTAAGGACTCTTCACACTGAGTCCTTAACCATCCAGGAGGCAGTGTCCCTGCCAATCTCACATGCAGACGAGGGGGAAGGCTGACCGAGGAAGCCAATGTCAGGCCGTTACTAAGTGGCTGAGTCAAGATCTGGAAAAAGTGCCAGGTGGTGGCGCTCACTTTTAAACCCAGCACTCTGCCTGAATGTAGAGGCAGGTGGATCTCTGTGAATTCCAGGCCAGCCTTGTCTATAGTGTTTCAGGACAGTCAGGGCTATACAGTATCAAAAAAAAAAAATCCAATCCAAAAACGCCCAGAGCCCCCCTTGCACAGGTGTTCAGAGTGGTGCCTGCCGGGCGGGTGCCTGAGCAGCAGGCCAGAGGCAGCCACAGCTTCCCAGCCCATTCTCAGGACTACTTACTGCATTCTCCGGATGGAAGATGTAGGAGGCGGGAGAATTGTCCACAATGATCACTTTGCTCAGCTCCCGTCCCAGGCGACTCAGGTCCTTCACATAGTTCCCACGATGGAAAACACAGGATTCTCTGAAGAGTCGCGCCCGGAACACGCCCCAGCGGTCCAGGAGGTCGGCCACAGGGTCTGCATACTGGAAACAAGAGTCTCTATGAAGCCGGAAGAGCCAGAAATCCACCTAGGACACCAGCACACACGTCCCCTTTTGGCGGGGAGGTAGGGTGGTTAAGATATGTTCCACGTAGCAGCCCAGGACAGGGTCCTCCTGTGCCACTGCCTCCCGTGTGCTGAGATCACAGGCATGAGGCATGACATCAGGCTGGACTTTTTGTTTGGTGTATTTTATTAGATTTGGAAGAAATCTTGCCAGAAAGGTCTGGCAAGCTGTAAATTTTGGCAGCTGTCCAGGAGACTGGAGGAAATCATGTTAAAAAAAAAAGTTGCACAGAGGCAGCCAGCTGCATGGCGGGTGGGGGTGAGTGTGGGGGAGCTTTAGAGAGAATAAAGGCGGCCCGAAGTGTCAGGGAAGGAGGAAGGAGGGAAAGGCCCGCTCTTCTGACTAATTCAGAAAAGTGGACAGCATTATGAGGCTGCAGATTCCGTAGCCCTGTAAGAAACTGCCTAGACTACTCCTTGTCTTGGTTGTATGTGTGTACAGGTGTGCATGGACACATGAGGCCACCGTTGGTGTCTTTCTCTATTGTCCCCCACCTTGCTTTTTGAGTCAAGGTCTCTCCCTGCACCTGCAGCTCCCAATTCAGTCAGACTGGCTGGTAGTAGCCCCAGGAACACACCCCCTCCCCATCTCTGCCTCCCCAGTGCTGGACCTGCAGGGGGCACACTGGCTGCCATGCTCGGTTCTCTGTGCGTTCTAGGGAAGCATGAGCGATGCTTTACCTACGGAGCCACCTTCTCCGTTTCTCGGACTTACTTTCTACTTTTTTACTTAAAAATTATCGTTGCCACGTATGTTCACGTGCACAAGCACACCATGATGTGCGCGTGGAGGTCAGAGGTCACCTTTATGGAACCGTTTTTCCCTCATTGCCAGACTTGCATGGCAGGTGCCTTGAGCCACGGAGCCATCTCATCAGCCTCTTAGGCCACTCGAATAGCTGGAAGTATTTTAGGACTGTGGTATTTCCCTCTCTGTGTATATCAGAAAGCACTGCATTCTTACAGGTCTCTCCCATCGAATCCGTCAGCAGTTCCTGTCAGTTTTATCTCCAAAAATAGTTTGACTCCCACCTTCATTTCTTTAGTTCTAATGAATCTTCCTGGACGAGTTCTCCTGGCCCGGGAAGCTCCTATTTCCTGCTGGCCCTCCCCTCCCAGCCATTGGCCCCCAGCTGTCAGAGTGGCCGCTGAAGGGCACACAGCATATCCTACTGCTGCCCTGATTAAAATTCCCAGTGTTGACCTACTGTCTTCGGAGTCAGTACAGGGCACACAGCACATCCCATTGCTGCCCTGTCCTGCAGGCCTCACTCGAGGCCTGGATCCACCAGCAAGACAAAAGTAAGGCCCACGGCCAGGGTTTGCAACCTGGGACCTCCTGAGGCTGAGTCACCGAGGCCGTAGTAGATGCGCTGCAGCTGGGTCTGTGGGAAAGTTCGTTCCACTCCAAGGACACCCTGAGTGGGGCAGAGTCCAGGAGCAGCTGCATTTCCTACTGACCGAGCAGCTCAGAGCACTATTTGGGTGAAGCTGGCTAAGGGGCATGTGGGCGTTCTACAAAGGGTTGACTTGCACGAGAAAAGATGTGATTCATTTTCTCCTCGTTGCTACCACCAGAAGTGGCAATCATCCCTTAAATGTTTTTAGGGGTTGATTTGTTTTCATGTGTGTTTTGCTTGCATGTATGTGTGTATGGGCACCATATGTGTGCAGTGTCCACAGAATCCAGGAGAGGGCATTGGATCCTCTGAAACTGGAGCTATGGGCAGTTGTGAGCTCCCATGTGAGTGCTGGGAACTGAGCCTAGGTACTCTGCCAGAGCAGCCAGAGCTGAGCCATCTCTCTGGTCCTGCCAATCGCCTTTTAGGGAAGTGTCTGGGGGTCTCCAGGCTTGCAAGATTAGGATGAAGCCTACAGGCGCCCGAGGCGGGGGCACATCTCTTCTCTTCTGTATCCTCAGTGCCCTATCACGTGCGGAGGGAGAATGAATGCCAGGATAGGCAACAAGTAGCAGATACCGTGGAGTCTGGGAGGCAGTGGGCTGTGCCTGCAGGCCCTGGCAGGAGGCAGGGAGATTCACTGTATAGATGCAGCTGGCTGAGCGCTGAGCTAAACTCCGAGAGCTAGAACCCAGACTACACATCACTACAACTTGGCCATGGGGTTGAAAAGGCTACAAGGTTGCATTGGGGACTGGGTCTGGCTCTGCAGGGCAAGAATAATACTGAAACAGGGCTAGAGAAACAGATGGTGGGGCAGGTGGGAGCAGCCCAGGAAGAGCAGCCCAAACAAGGATGTTTAGGCGAACACTGGGGACAATGCCAAGGAAGAGTGTTTTCAATCTCGCCGAGGAAAAAACAAGCCCTAGTCCAGCGCGCTGGTGCAATCCTCGCCTTGCTGTTTGGCTGTTTATTACTCCAGGTTCTTTAGCATCCTGGAGCAGCATCAGAGGCACCATTGAGGCTGCACACATAATTAGTCTTGGCACCACCGGGGAAGACTATTTCCTTGAGGCCATGCTCTGTTTTCTGTACAAGTGAATAAAGCCCAGGTGTGGGATCTCTCAGCAGCTCACACTGAGGCCAGCTGATGAGGCTGGCGGTGCGCTCAATAGGTGGCCCTTGCCTTGGTCAGCACAGAGGACACACCCAGACGGGAATGCCCCAGCCAGGGGAGCAGTGCTGAGGACCCGAGGTCACAGGTTCAACATGTAGAGGAATGTGGGTGCTGTCCAGGCAGGCCACGGAGGAGGAGGCTGCTGCTCCTGGAGGAGTTCTGCACACAAAGGGTTAACCTACACACCACAGAACTCATCTTTGGGGGCTACTCAGAGTTTCCAGGTACTCATGGAGACACCGTGGATGTTACCAAGTGGATTTCGTGACTCTGTGAGACTCGTGGTGGGCAGACCTTGGAGGAGCTAGGGGCCTGTTCTGCCTGCCCACAGCATGGCACCAATGAACCTGTCTGGATGTTATTACCCTCACCAACACGGACGATCCTATACACTGAACGTCAGGAATGCTTACCCCGTGACATTACCCAGAGCAGCGCACAGAAGATGGCAGGGGCTCAATGAACGACTGCCAATAGGAGCTGGGAGTTAGGCTTAACCATCCACGCGGCTTCTTCATTTAATCCACTCCATCAAGCAGATGGAGTTAGCCCCAATTAGATAAGAGGAAATTGAGGTGTTACCAGAAACCGGGCGGCTCCTTAAGCCAGTCAGAACGTTCATCAGCCCATGCCTGCAAGGGACACTTGATACCTGCCTCTACTCGTTCCTCCTCCAGACCTGTGGCCACTAAACCCAGGGACACAGAAACCTCTAACATCTGGCTGCTAGTCAGTGGGCGAGGGATGCTCCACCACGCCTGTGCTGGGCAGCCATCCTTCTGCAGTCACAATGGACAGGTCTTGTGATTTCGGCTGTGGATAACTGGTTTCAGGTGGCTGCATACAGGCGACTTTCATGGAGCATTTGTTCTAAATGCTCCCTGTCACCATGGTAACCAGAAGCCTTTCAGCCTGGCAGTATGCACATGGCCTGCATTCATCCCATCTGGGGTGGGAACCTGTCACCGCAAAAATAGCTTCCTCCACCTTAACAAAAGGCTCTTGGCAGCTTGGGGGGGGGGTGGAGGGTGAAGGGGTTGGGGTGACGGCTGGGAGTCTGCGGCGGGGAGCAGGACGCACCTTGGCCAAACTGGCAGTAAAGAGCACACACTCGAAGAGCTGCCCCATCCTCTGGAGGAACTCGTCCACGTGTGGGCGCTTCAGCACATACACCTGCAATGGGAGGAGATGATAGGCATCAGCCACACAGCAGCTGGAAGCCCTGGGCATCCAGAGCTGCCCCAGGGGACCTCCTCCTGCTGCCAGGCCTATCTGTGCATGATCTGCTGAGGTTTGGACCAGAAAGCTGGATGTAGGTTCCAGGTATGCCAGTAGACACCTCTCACAAGGAGAAAGGGAAGCTGACCACGATGCCGAGGGTCTTAGGGCTTATCAGAGCTAGCAGGTGGAGCACAGCTGTGCCGTGTTCAGGTGAAGCTGCTCATTCATCCCGTGTGGTTTTTGACACCCACTGTGAGTCAGTCCCTATGTGGACGCAGGCCTACAGCCTATGTGCTGAGCTTTTGGAAGTCAAGGATTGGCTGCTGCCTTCTACTCTGAATTTCCCCCTCACCCCACACCCCATAAAAAGGCCCGGGGGCTAAAAAGTTTGAAGATTTTCTGCTCAACACCATAGAGGTTCCTCTGCTTATGTGGGAACACACAAAGTACTCCCGAGTGGCAAGAGGTGTCTCTTTCCCACAGTCGGGCCACAGAGGACCACAAGGCTCCTGTTTCTGGAGGTGAAGTGAGTCTCAGGGAACTGAGAGAAGAGAAAGAAAGAAAAGCCAGGGAGAAGACACGGGAAGAGGGAGAACCCAATTAAGACTTGAATAAATTCCACTGAAGTTAGCCTACCTCTTTAAAGACACAACACATTTACTAGGCCACAGTGCTTTGCTCGGTTCGGCTACAAGGCTGAATGGGATGATGTAGGCCTGCCCCTGCCAGGCTCACAGCCTTGAACATATACTTACAGAAATTAGTGAATACAACACTCATCGCTCGGCTGGGGATGGGGGTGGGGTGGAGCAGGGTGGTGGGGGTGGCGTTTACATTAAAGATATTTTTCCTTTGCAGAGGAGGGAGTCACAGAGAATAATATCTGGCCTTGACCTTGAAGGATCAATAGGAGTTCTCACACTAAGCAAGAACCAAGCTTCTAGGCTGAGCAAAGTGTGAACGCGGGACCTGGATGCTTGACAACATGTGTGGTGTTGGGCTGAAGCCCGAGCGCCCAGTCAATCATAGGCAACCAGAGAATGTAAGGCTGTGCCAGGGAGGGGCAGCTGCAGGTGAAGAATTAGGTGGCAGTAAGTACATAGAGCCTCTGAGAGGGAGAGAGAGACACACACACAGAGGAAGGGAGGGAGGCTCCGGAGCTGGATGCACAGGGCTCTGCACCACCTGTGAGAAAACCCTGCCGGTGACGACATTCCCACGTGGAAACGGCATTCCCACGTGCAAACAACTGCTTCGCAGTACGCCAGAAAAAGGTGTTTGCTGGTGGGAGACTAGGTGGGAGAACACCCACCCGGCTAGCTGAAAGAGTGGGTCTGGGGCCTGGTTCTGCGGTTGAGGGCAGAGGAAGGGGTCTGAGGAACGGGAGACTGAGTACCAATAGGAGGACCCTGCTGAGCTGGGGTGCTGGGCTCGGGCTGAGGGCAGAGCTGTGGCTGCAGCAGCCGCAGGACCCCCTTTGCTCGCACCACTTCTTGGTCCTGGTGCCAGTGACTGGGCGTGGCCTCCCGTTCTGTGTCCCTGGGAGGATTGGATGGACAGCACGCTTGGCTACGTGCAAAGAGCTGGAGACTGACAGGGAACTCTGACGTTGGCGCCTTTGGCAGAAAGGAGGGTCCTGGGCCCGGATGCCGGCGTCCAGGCCCGCGTCCCCGTGCAAGTAACCAAGAATAGGCCCCTTGGGACCTGCACAGCCTATCCTGGATTACTTGAACGAGGCCACGGCCTTCGCCAGGGCCTTGGTCCTCTTGCTTTAGCACCTGTGGCTTCCTCCCCTTAGGAGTCTCTAATCCCAGCCCCGGGGTGGTTAGGGCCAAAGAGAAGGGGCTGGGGGAGCTGCTGCGCATGCTCGCGGTCACATGGTGTGGAGGATTACTTTTCTCTCCACGCCACTGGGCAGCCCTCCTGTGCCTCATCTCAAGCTCTTCCCAGCCACAGTACTCAGTGCAGAAGTCTGAACTGCTGGTCGGGTGTCGAGTTAATCAGCAGATGCTGGTAGGAATGTTAAATGCCCATGTGCCTGCAGCTCTGGCTTTATGATGGCTTTAAAGCGTGAGGTGTGGAGACATGGCCTTTCCCAGGTCCCGCTTCCTGCAATGCTAGGTCTAAGTCTAAGGAAAAGAACCCTGGCTCGGGAGTCAGGATTCTCATTTTGATACTTTTCACATATAATCTTGAGCCAACCCTTTCTCTAAGCCTCAGTTTCCCCATCTGGGCAGTGAGACGGTTATACTGATGACTTTTGTTACAGGCCTGGACAGTTGTAACTGCATTCAAGAGTCACGGGGCCTTATTGACATCATTAAGAAATGACATCCCATGTGGCCTAGGAACTAGATGTTCCCTCCTGCGATCTGAGGCCAGGTACTCTCCCATTAAGGCCTTAAAGTCACCAGCGGAGGCGGTCCCATCATCCCTTAGGGTAATCTGACCAAAGCTGCCTCTACTTTAACCTTCAAGGCTAGGTCTTCTACCACGCTTCTAATCTAGTCATAAAAAAGGCCATTTCCAGAAAAGCTTGCTGATGACAAAGACGAAAACCAAACCAAACAAGCAATACCCCCCCCCCCAAAAACAAAACACCTCTTTCCAAAAATGCCCCATAATGACTTACTGGTGGTATTTCCCTATTGCATGCTGAGAGAGTGGCCTAAAGCAATCATAGGAGGACATTAACTGGATGTCAAGCCTGTGGTGGGGGTGGGGAGCAGGGGGCTGACAGCAGAGGCAGACTGAGGGGCCACTGATAGTGACACTGGGATTTGTCTCTATGGCATGTACTGGCTTCTTGGGACCCTATTCTCTTTGGATGTAAACCTTGCTCAACCTAGATGTAGTAGGGAGAGCCTTAGACTTTCCACAGGGAGGGGCGCATGGCCCTCTCTTAGGAGGGGGGTGGAGTGGGAGGGTCTGTGGAGGGAGTGGGAGGAGGGGAGGGAGTAGGAATTTGGATTGGTATTTTTTTAAGTAATAAAATAATGAAAAAATAAACTCCCGAAAGTCTAAATAAATCAAACCAAAGAACAATCACATCTAACAGTTATGAACAGAAAAGGTCCCTCATTAACCTGGTATAAGACAAATGTGTGTGAGGTAGGAATTCATTTACTGCACTCATTTATTTCCTTTTGGTTTTTTGAGACAGGATTTTTCTGTGTATCAGCTCTGGCTATCCTGGAACTCGCTCTGTAGACCAGGCTGGCCTCGAACTCAGAGATCCGTCTGCCTCTGTCTCCATGCCCGGCTCACTGTATTTATTATACAAAGTTTGTTTCCTGTAGCTGGAATAAAATCACCATGGAGATGAGAATTTAGAAATGACATTTGCAGGGAATGTGGTCACAAGAAGAAAATGCTCACCACAGATCCAGGTTAGCTTTGATTTCTTACCTGGTGTATAGTTCCATCGATCTCAACGGGAACAATGAAATCTGCATTACTAATGGGCTGGAGAGAAAAGGAATTGTGATTAATATATCTGAAAGGGAAAATAAAATTGGAAATTTTAGCAAGAAAAAAGCTTGCCTGGACCAATATTTTGATAACTGGGGGAAACAGTTCAGTAGGGTGCTGGCATATGCCTTGGGTCCTTGAAATAACACAAGCAGGAAGGCACGTTTCTCTCTGCTTGTCATGGCATTTCAGCATTCTGGTCCAACCTCCTGGTCACTTGCCTGCCTCTACCACAAAAGGTGGCACAGCCTGGCAAAAGAATGGGCTCTTCAGAGAGTCCAGCCCTTGCCTGGGGGCCCAGACAAGATGAGGGGAGCCAATGTTGGCCACCAGGGGGCAGAGATGAAAACCTACTGACCAGTGTCACCACCACTGGAAAAGCAATTTGTCCTTGGACTCACAGTGTGGGCAGCTTGGCAGGGGATGCTCAGAGCACCGACCCACAGCAGGCAGAAAGCCAGATGCCGCCCACCAGGAGGCTGGGCAGACCTCCCGCTCCGGACTCCAGTGCCTGTCCTCTACCACTGCTGTGGTGGTGAGCATGATGTCTGATGGGTCCCCATGGCTCCATCAGCAGTTTCAGGCCCTGCCTGGTGGCCTGGCCTGGTTTCTTGCTCTGGGGTTGGAAAGCAGCCACCCTCTCGACTGCTCTGTTCTACGAAACACAAAACCCAGCCTACCCACAACGTCACAGACATTGGACGTAACTCTTGGAGAGTAGTGGGCGCGTTTGGAAAATAGGACTTTAGCAGTCATTGTAGCTCAATGGGCTCCTATGTAGTCTAAACAGAATTTCACAAGCTAGAAAAATTAAGGAACAGGTCCAAAAGACTCATCAGCCTGCAGATCCTAGGGGCAAGAGAGACGCTGAGGAAGACAAAGGAAGATGCACATGGTGGCCACTGGGTGGAGAAGGTGTGCCGGACCTCTGGTTAGTCTGTAGACTGGGTCTGCACCACACACTCTTCATTGACATATAAACTGAAGAATGTGGAGCGTGCTAGACCACCACCCCATCACTGTGTGCAGTGTGCTAGACCACCA